CATGATCATTATCACCTAAGTATTCATCGTGTAGAATGTCATGTACAAGCTTGTACTGAGTGGCTAGCCTATCCTTACATAGGCGTAAGGTGGTATTTAATATAAAATTAATGTCTTTTACTGTTTATAACTTTGCTTTATAAAGAATTACATTACTGTACGGTATGCTTGTCTCTTAACTGGAGAAACTGCATATTAGCTTATCATTTTCACAAGTGGATTTTTAAAATGTAACAATGTCTCCAATACTGGATTATGAATGTAATGTTGTATGATGATGACAATGTTGTATGCCATAAGAATTTTTTAACAATTCATTCAGTGCACAGGGCTTGGCGTTCCTAGCCGCAACACTGTTCAAGTGTCAGCTGTAATTACTTTTTCCATATCTTATTTTAGTTTCTTTTAAGTATAGGGGTTGTCATAGTTTCTATAGCCAATTCTAATAAATTAGAAGGAGAAGTGGTCACAATGGTTTTCAATCTTTCTCCACCAACTCCACTGAGGGATATGATAGTAACAGTGGTGAAGGCAATGCCCCTCAGGCTGTTCTCAGCCAAGTCTCAAGGTTGAGGAGTAGGGAGCGTATGTTCTGAAAAGCTGTCTGGCAGGCGGAGTGTGGAAGCACAGTCAGTATCCCAGCTGGACACACACCAACTCAGCAAAAGGCCTCACAGCCCAAGTACCTGCTTCAAAGAAAGGGCTCTGGCTGCTCACAACTTGGGCTGTGTCAACAGCTCATATCACACCTGAGTTTATGGCAGGAAAGTAGTTCACAATGAAGGCAGCATTCAAGGGGGCATTTTGGAAATTTGTGGGAGCTTTTATTGGGGGAGGCTGTCAAAGTGACTGAGATTATTGTTGTTCAGTGGATGGGAGCCAGGGGGGGCTTCGAATGCTCGGACTAGCCCTGCACAACAGAACTGTGCTGCATGACTTCAGAATGTCCAACGAGACGTTCATGTAACTGAAAGGACTCCTTATAATTAAGTGAACCTAGAAACAAATTCCATATTATTTATAAGCACAAAGTAGTTCCTACAATTCTGACATACTTTGAATTTACAGGAAAGCAAATAATATGTAATTAAGAGAAGACTATAAAGGCTTTGTTTGGAATTTTACTAAGAGTTGTTTCAGAAAAATTACGTCACTGACATCTCATGGTACCTGAGTTTCCAATACATACACATGTAACAATCTCCATTTGTAGTTGCCACATTCACAGTGATTCTACAAACAGATACAAGCATCTCACTATTTTATTCTGTACTGAAAAGCAGTACTTCACAAACTTGAACACACAAATCATTTGGGGATCTAGTTAAAAACAGATGTGGACGCAGCATCTGAGGCAGGACCTGAGAGTTTGCATAATAAACTCCCAGGTGATACTAATGCTACCTGGGTAAGCCCAGAGCCCAAACCTTGAGTGGCAAGGTTCTAGAGTAGCGATACCCAAGTATTTACAATTAGAAATAGCCTTTTTATAATTACTTTCTTTTAATTTCTCCTTTATATATATATATATTTTTTTTTGCAAATTAAGTATATAGACAGATTGATTATATTATCAAAAAGTTATTTATTGAAAGTCAAAGGGTGTTATAAAAATGTTAGTTTTTTTAAAAAGTGGGCACTGGGTCTGATAAGGTTGAAGACCACTAACTTATGGAAATAGTTTCTGGCCAGTATTTGGGCATAGGACCTTCATAACAACGTAAGATTTTTATATAATTACACTGACATGTCACACTGAAGCCAGAATGATATTTTCGAAGTACAAATCTAGCCAAGTCACTCTGTTCTTAAGAACACTCACTCAACAGGTTCCCTCCCCACTGCTTGGAGGGAAAGTGCAACCTCCTTGGCATGGTTAGAAAGCCCTTTATACTTTATAACCCATTGCCACTTACCTCACCAGCCTCATCTCTCACCACTGCACTCTTCCAGCCCAACACATCACTTGCAGACTGAGCTCTTTCTCATCCAGAAGCATCTGTATAGTTCCTAGAGAAGCACTTTACTCCAAAGATAACACAGGGGTACACACCTCCCTCATAAAGGTCAGGTGCTCTCTCCTGTGCCTCCAAAGCGCACAGCACTTCTCACAGTGTGCTGTTACTTTTTCAAATAAGCAGGGACCACCTTTTTAGTGGTGTGTGCACACTGCAGGAACTCAATAAATGCTTACTGAAAAAACTGAACTGTCTTAGCACTGAACAAAAAGAACTGCATGCATTCAGAACATGGGTGGGTCTCAGTGTATTAGCAAATGGCCTATGGCTGATAAGAAATGGCCTGTCCAGGCAAGAGAAATTCAAATAATTAAAAATGTTTATACTAAGTTGAACGCTACAGATTCTGCCTAAATGTTATAGCCAACTACCAAAGTAGTATCAAAGTGAACAGGAAGTATGGGGAATAGGCAGAGCACCAAGCACATCACCATATTATTCACATACTCGATGTCATATATTTACGTCACAGTGAGTCAGTTTTAGTACTAACAGAATATAAAAAGCCATGTGACACAATTATAAATGCCCAATGGCATACTTAATGCATAAAATGTCTTGCTACATTCTTTGGGCACACAGTCAAGTGTTCAAGGACATGACAGATGAAAATCGAATGGTTCTGGCAAGTCAATGGAAGGATGAACATATAAACGAATGGATGGCTAAAGGAACAATAGACCAACAGTCAGCGTAAAATACACTGGAATAGGAGCTGTAAGAAGTGGGGTGCGTGAGGGGTGCAGCCGGGAGATTGTTCTAGTCCTGATTCTGTTATGAAATAAATAGCTGTGTGATCACAGGCAAGTCTCTCAACTTCCCTCTACCTCAGTTTCTCATTTATAAATGGAATGGTTGTGTCTTTAGTCTTTTAGTTCCTTGAACAAGCCGCTCTCTCAGGATACCACACACCTAGGATACTGTCTTTATTTGCTGCCTAGCTAATCCCTAGTAATTCAGAAAAACAGAACCATTACCCAACTTTCATAGTTTATTAGCACTAATGGGGACTTTAAGATCTAGTTCAACTGCCTAGTTTTACAACAGAAGAAAATGAGGCCAAGAAAGATTAAGACCTTTGCCTAAGATCCCAACTGGCCATTGGTTTCTTAGTGATTATTTTAAAATCACTGCCCATTTTCTCCTAAGTTTTAATATTTTCTGGGTAATTCTGCAGTTGGGCAGGGCCAGGTGTTATTTGCAAAGAAGATGAGCAAAAAGAAAAAATGTTAAGTTGAGAAAGAAAACAGAAGAGACTTACCTCTGGATCTGCTAGGCGCTGAGACAGGCCTACAACAAAGACGAGGTTTTTTTGTACAACACGTACACTAGCCAAATGTTTGCGATTTTCTGATATTTTCTGTTTTCTCTCATTTTGTTTCTGTTTCTTCTCATTCTTTATCCTTTGCAGTTCCTCCTGGGAGAGGGGTTTATAAACTGCTGGGTCTTCTGGATATGGCTTTAAGCATAAAAAAAACATAGACGTCAGCATCAAATAAAGAGAAAAATTGTACAAATAGCAAATACCAAACTCTGGATTAAGGGTATGTAGTTATTTGTTACATCTCCCTTTTCCTGAATCTTTTAATTGCTTAAAATATTTTTATTCAATAAAAGTTAAATGTTAAATAAAACAGCTTTTTAAATACTTGTTTTTAGAGCTTAACACAGACCACTTTTAGCAATGAAACTTAAAGAACCACCAAATGTTCTAAAATAATAATAATAAAAAAAAAACAATCTTGGTATTTCCTACAGTGCCTAGCACACAGTTTACGGGAAAATTAAACTTCTAAGGTGCTATGTAAGAGGCAAACAGTGTAAGTTCTCTATCTAAACATGAGTTTACGTATTACAATCAACAAGTATTTACTGAAAACCTACTATGTTCTAGAGGATTAATGAAGTATTTGTTTTTTAATACATTCCCAGTCAAAGAGCGACTCAAAAGGGGAAATAAATACAATACAGGTACTCTGGCGCAGGAGTTTGAATTTAGTTTCAACATTTACTGGCCATGTTTTCTTAGGTAAGTTAATTAAACTCTATGCCTCAGTATCCTCATAAGTAAAATGAAAATAATCATAACGGCTGGTGTAAAGATAAAATAACACTCATAAAAGAATTATTATTATGACTGGCAGACAGTAAGCCCTCAATAAACATTAGCAATTATGCTGTTGTAATTTTTTCCTTTCTCTTCATTACAACGTTGTTTTTATTACCACTGCTAAGCTAAAGCTACCAGTGGCCGGCATACGAACTGTGGATTCACACTGCCTAGCTTTCAATCTTGGCTCAATCTTTACTCTCTGAGACACCATAGCTAAGTTATGTGACCTGTCTGACTCAGTTTCTCTTCTGCAAAATGGGAATCACAGTACTTTATTCAGAGGGTTTCTATGAGTTTAAAAAGATAATACAGTTATAAAGTAATTAAAACTGTGTCTTGCACATTAGCATTCAATAAGTCAGTTATTAAAACTACTAATAAAACTAGTTAATAATAAATGGAAGATAGGAAACATTAAACACAGTAATATCTAAAATTGGATATGAAGCGAATCCAAAAATGGAACCACAATTGGTTGGGAAATTGTGGCTATCAGAACACAGAAATGATGTCATCAAGAAAAACAGTGGGAATAAAGAGGGAATGTCCAAAAGCTTGAAATCCTGCTATGCTTTTAACATAAAGTTACTTTCATGTTTTCATATATAAGTAAAAACAAAAAATTAAAAAACCCTCAACTTTGTGAACACACTCACATTAATACAGAGGGCAATTAATAAAGTGAGATTTCCTTCTATGGTCCTCAATTTCTTTGCTAACATTCTCTGACATTGTAAAATCCTGATAAAAGATGATGCAAACTAACATAAAAGTAAAAAAATGCATACACAACAATAAAAAATGGAGAATGACAAGTACCAAAAATTACACTGCAATAGCAACTATCACCAAGTATATTATTGATGCACCACAATGTTTAGTATATAGCACTGGTAATCCTAGTCTTTTTCCTATGTTATTCCAAATTATTTTTTTTAATGAAAATATAATTCCATCAGACTTCAAAGTCAACTTTGTTGAAAAATAACTGCTACATAATTTGAAAAAACAACAATACAGGACAACAACAGGACAAATTACTTTACTATGATTTACCCACCAAATATCTCTTATTCCAGCAACTTAAAGGAAGTTATAAATATTAGCTTTTCAATCTTAACATATTTGTAAAACTACATTTCTGTTGTTAGGAGGAACTAAATAAAAATTTCTAGACAATGTATAATAAAATGTGCTAATTTTCTCTAAACACAAATGGCAAATATGCAAAATCTTATTAGCCTTAATTTGTCTAAAGGTTTCATAAAAAGTTGGAAAAAGTATGCATTCTGTGATGAGTACTTCTCCACACATGCCACCATACTCTATGAACCCAACTGACAGAAAATTAATAAGTCCATGAGGAAGGGAGATAGAATAAGATGAGATGAAGAAATAAAATGTGAATAACTGCAGAGAGAGAGTATGACTTACAAAGCTAGTAACAATAGTTCTAAAAATAAATATAAAGAAAATACATCTGGTCTACTTTTTGACTGAAACATGTTAAATTTAATTTTCTAGGAATATAACATCAAGTGAAAAATTACAAGCAGAAAATTTTTCTTTAGAAGTACTACAGTGTGTTATATATCAAGCTAATGCTAAATAGGGTACCTGTGGAAAAGTATTTTTAAGGTGTAAAATATTTTTAGTAGTGTTAATTTGGCAATAAGTTGCCAAACTACTAATTAAGATGGTTTATATTCTCTAGTTTAATCACTTATTTTTTTCATATGTGTAGTATCTTCCACTTTTAGTCCTAATGCATTTACATGTGATTTCTCTTTACGTTCTCATCAGACTTGCCAAGAGTTTATTATATTGGTGTTTTCAGAGAACCAGCTCTAACCTTTATTGAAATACTACTTTTCTTCTATTTCACTACATTCTTCTTAATCCTGGTTTTCTACTATTACAGTGTTTATTCTCTTCCTGGTTTCTTAACCTGGAAATAAATTCATTTATTTTTCTTCTTCGCTTCTAATAAATGCATTTATAGCTCTAATTTTTCCTCTTGCTAAAATACTATATAAAACTAACTAAATTTTTAAACCAACATCTTAAAAACAATAATGATCTATAGTAGGGAAGTCCCAAGCCAATTTCTAGATGCAAGTCAAAATCCAGAGAGAAAAGTGGAAAGTCTGAGTAACAATAAATAGAGACAGGGGGACAAATGGAGGAAGTGGGATAGCATTCAAAGTCCAAGGCCAGCCCAAGGTGAAGAGTTTGTGAGGACAGCATCCCCATGTTAAGATGAGACCTAGCCCACCCCTAAAGGGCTGTTTTAGTCTCAGGATTAAGAAAAAACTACAGAGAGGTCAGAATAAGAAAAAGGAAATGCGGGTAGAAGAAAATCCTTCTAGAGAAGTTGTTGAAACTAACCCTAGGGAAGATTTGCACCCTACAGAATAAAAGACATAAGCATGGTCAGAGCAAAGACTTTTATGCTTGAAATATCCCTAATGGCAATGTTTATAGGATCCAGCAAAAGCGAAATCAAAGGCCCTCTTAGAGGAGGGCAAATCCACCTTGGGCCTTGTAGAACCCTACAAATAATTCAATGACAACAAACAGGAAGCACACAACGATAACCAAGCACATAAAGAAATGAAAGGACATTAACAACAACCAGCAGAAACATCCCTCACAGCCTAGTTACTAGAATTATTGGACATAATTTAAAAATAATGCTTATCTGTTTAAGCAAATACATGACAAACTTGAAAATATCTGCAGAATATAAAAATCTATTTTGAAAATAACATATCAAGTATGAAAAAAGAACATTATTTCTAGAAATGGAAAACACAAAGGTAAAATTTTAAAACTCAGCAGACATATTTAGCAGAAGACTGGACCTAAAAAATAATTCAAACACTATAGAATGGAACAGAAGAAATTATCCATTAATGCATTAAGCAAAGAAAAAGACAGAAAATACAAAAGAGATTAAGAAACATGGAACACAGTGAAAAGATCTAAAAAACATTTAATCGGAGTCCCAGAAAGAAAGAAAATTAAAGGCAGTATATGTATGAAGAGATAAAAGCATATCTCTAACTGTTGTACCTACTTATTAAAACAATAAAACCCAGAAAATTATTAAAAATCATAGATTTCTTTAAAGTTAGAAGAAATTCAAAAGACTTATATTTGAATCCCAAACCTATTACACACTAGTTGATGCCTATGAACAAGTTTCTTCAACGGTCCAGTTTTCTTAAATGTATAATGGAGATAGCATTATCAGCTTAGATCATTGTAAGAACTCAACAAACAATAACTATTACCGTCTGAACCAGAATTTCTCTGTCATTTTAGACCCAAGATTTCTTTTAGCAAATATCAACACTTCTCTCCTGTTTTGCACTAGAAAGTTAAAGAGAATTCCCCCCACTAGATGTAATACTAAATGTGGTTTTCTAATTTCATACCATCCTATCTAAATCCTTTGCCTCTCTACTTCTAATCCTTTGAAACAGTCAGTGCCACTGGTCTTGTTAATCTTCTCAGATAAGAATACTGAAGGGTAACTGGAGAGTTTATGGGACTTTACCAAGGTCATATTTTAATATATAGTTAACAACAAAGCCAAGACTTGACCCCGACTCATAAGGGCAGTGTTCTTTCTCATTTGTATACTTCATTGTATTTTAAAAGTAAAATGCTACACATAATCTAACCTGAGGTACTCATACACGTGGAGAGAAAAGACTGTACACAAAGTTATTCTGGAGTGTTTACCTTTCTACATGCAGGACAAAGCCCATTTTCATCAGTGCGAATTCGATGCCAACAAAATCGGCAAATCTGGTAGCCACAGGTGCAAGGGAAAAAATTGATATCATCTATCTCCAAGGGCTCCATGCAAAGAGGACATTCCACAGGGTCTTCCTTCGCATCAGGACTGCGAGACATCTTCACGTTTATTAAACAGCAGCAAAAGTTTATAATAATTTAAGGGAGAAAGAAGTTCAGCACTGAGAATTAAAATGTAGAACTTCAACGACCTGCATTAAGAGAAACAAAATATACTGTTTACTACTGGGGAAAAAATGGCATTTTCAACAATCAAGAATCATTTCATCAAAAATTTTGAAAAATATTAATCAGACCAAGTTTTGCTATCATCTCAGAACAGATTTCAGAATAGAATTCTGAGGTTTTTTTGCATGTCAAGATAAAAATCTTAGCATTATTAACTTTTTAGATTTAATAGAAAAACGAATACACTTCCTTTTTTCTAGATAAAACATTTACTACTAAACTAGTACTAATCAAAGCACATTTTAGGAGAATAAATAATATACAGAAGCATCTTCAACCTTAAAATACACTCTGAACTGTCTTATCTTTAACCTAAAAGTTAGTAATATAGTGTAACATAACTAAAGGAGCATAATAGTATCCTAAAATGTATCACAATTTATAAAATAAACCTAATGAGAAAGAGAGACTTGAGTCATCTATGATTACATGTTAACATCAACCCCTTGCCAAAAAAAACATAGGCTAGGGCTGAAAAAAATATGCCATAGAACCTGTTTACAATTAAATATGTATTATATGCCAATGAAAACTTTTGAGAAAATAAGAACATGGTAAACAAAAGTATTCCTAAGGTAATGCGACAAGAAGCCTCCAAAAATAGGAAGGGGGAAGAGACGAAGTCTTTTATAAAATTAAATAATTTTTCTTTTTAGATTGTGGAGAGTTGAAATTTTTTAGGTAACAATTAAGCTAAAGTCACTGTTAAGTTAAAACATTTGGCTGGGGCTGGCCGAGTGGCACATTGGTTAAGAGCTGGCTTGGGACACCAGCTCTGAGCAGCAGGGCCCCAGTTCGGATCCCACATGAGGGCCAGTGACACTGCCCTCTACAGCTAAGATGGTGAACAACAGCTCGACCTGGAGCTGGGCTGCCATGAGTCGCCGGCGACAGCGTAGGCTGCAGCCCCTGCTGCAGTGGGCTGCCATAAGCTACCGTGTTCGGCCGGCAGCCAGCGTGAGCAGCGGCAGCCGGTGTGAGCTGCCAAGAGCTGCTGTGAGCGGCTGTCCAGAGGCCGGCGACCCATCTGCCTCACCTGGGAAGAGCACAATGATAATACCAACATGGGCCAGTGAAGCAACGTTCTCCACAACTAGACTGAAGAACAAAACGACAGCAACTTGTCTGTTCCCCTTCCCCACATTCCCCAGCGCTGTTTCCCTCTCCCAACTCCCCAATAAAATCCTAAAAAAAAAACAAAAATATTAGGCTGGAGTCACTATTCTAGGCTAAAAAAATGATAGCCTCCAAAATACAACTCAGTGCAATCTCTATCAAAATAACAGTTTAAAAATAATTTGACAAAATGATTCTAAAGTTTACATGAAAGTAATAAATGCATGAGAATTGCTTTGAAAGTTCTGGGGGGAAATGTGGGGATTTGTGTTATCAGATACTATTGAGTTGTCAGAAAAGTCATGACGTATTTTTTTCTATGTTTTTTGTTGCAAAACTGCATCATGACTTTTCCAACAACCCAATAAGCTGTAATACAAAGCTACAGTTATTTAAATAATTTGATATGGGTACAAATATAAATAAAAGATCAAAGAAGCTAAATAAAAAAATCTAGAAACAGAACCATAAATTTATGATTTAATACTTGGTAAAAGTGACATTAAATCAATATGGCAAGGATAGACCAATTTATAAGCAGTAAAAGGGTAGTAGTCTATTCACTTTAAGAAAAAAACAGTAAATATGTCACATTGCAATCAAAATAAATCCCAAATGACCCGTCTATAGAGCTATATATTGAAATAAACTATTAAAGTGTTAGAAGAAAAAAAAGAGAAATTTTCAAATCTTGGAATATAGCAAAACCAGAAATTCAGAAGCCCAAATAGAAAGATATGAATGAATTAGCATCATGGGAGGAAAAAAAAAAAATTAAAAGCAAGAAACAGAGTAAAAGATACCGTACTTTCCCATGTATAAGACACACCTTAATTTTGGGGCCCGAAATTTGAAAAAAATGTTTTACATAAAGTTATTGAACTCAAGTTTTAGTCATCATAAAATTCATACAACTCCTCAACACTTGCGGGAAATACAAGTAAAAAAAATCTATAACCACTGTATAAGACGTACCTAGTTTTTAGACCCCAAGTTTTTTAAAAATGGTGCATCGTATACATGGGGAAATACGGTATATTTCAAAGAAGTTAGTCTTCCCACAAAATAGAGATTATCAGTGATCTAAGTTCCTCTTCACAAAGAGGAAATGAAAACACAAAGAGTACCTTTCCTTAAGTTGCACACCTATTAAGTGGTGCAGCCTAAATTCATTCCAGGAAGTCTCAGGCCCAGAGTCTGTGCTGTTAACATTCCTTATACCACCTAGGAATCCATCTTACATAAATACACATACACACCAAGTACTTTGCTATGTTTTGCATCATTGTTCATACAGGGAGAAAACTGCAAACAATCAGTTAGGGAAGTCATTAAGTAAATAATATAAGCATAAGGTAAATGTGTGTGTTGAATCACTATTATATCATGTTTTTAACTTTTAAAAGCAAGTTAGACACTAACATAATATACAATTACTTCTGTATTACTAGATAAACCTTGTATGTATATATATTTGACTTGTTTCTATATTACTATATAAACCTTGTATGTATACATATTTGATTTGTTTCTCTAAACAAATAAAGCACACAAAAGGTTATACCCCAAAATGTTACGGCATCACGAAAGACAAAATGGAAGTAGTAAGCTACTGATTTTATTTTTGAAAAATCTGTATTATCTGAATTATTACAACAAACATGCTTGCAATTCAAATGGCCAACTTAAAAAAAAGAGGGAAATTATTTTCAACTCATTTAAGAAAATTAAATGTGACTTTTGTGAATAATTCAAAGAAAAAATATTTTTAAATAAAAAAGTTTTTAAAGAAAAATAGTATATGTATTTATAAACAACTCAGGCATCCTGACTTGCAGACCCAATTTTGTCACTATCAGTTTCCTAATATATAAAGTGAGGGGTTAAGAGCTGATCTAATGGCTCCTCCAGCTTGAATATCCAAAAACTGTACCTGTAGAAAACACATTCTCAAACATTGGTTCCACCAACAGGAAACTAAACTAAAATAATTGAGGAATGCTGCCTACACTTCTAATATACTTTTGATTATAAGGAATTCTTTCCATAGCTACAGCTTAATTGGAGTTTTAGTGAAGTAATTTATGAGATGGTGGGAAACAAACAATAATCGGGGGTTTATGAATTGAAAAGTTTTCCAGAAAGTAAATTACTATAAATTAAAAATGACATATTGAGGTTATGCTTCTTGATTGCTTCTGTCTTTTAATTTTAAAAAAAGTTTGCAAGAGGATAATCTCCCAGTTTAGAGGAAGGAAAAAGGACAAAACAGCAAGAAATCCCTAAAGATGGTTAATACAAAACCAAATACATTTTGTACACTTCTAGCACCATGGAGAGACGCCATGTAAGGCATCTGCAAAATGTAATCACGTCACTGGTAAAATGTAGGCGGGGAGTCTGATGTGATAGAACACCAGAATACAAAGTAAAAGAGCTAACTTCGGTCTCAGCTCTTCCACTAAGTAAGGAGCTGTATGATTTTGGATACGACACTCAAAAGCTCTAGGATTCAATTTACTCATCTGAAAAGTGCCAAGAGACACACAATTTAATGGAATGTCAAGTAGAGAGAAATTTCCTTTATGTAACCCCACTGAACTAAGCTTTTAAAATAACCTTTGAAATAAACTCTCTCCCCTCCAAATACCTTAGCCGAGATATTCATTTAGAGAATAATTTTATTTCATAAGCCAGTTAACTGGCTTATGAATATAAAACTGGCTTATTAAAATTAAAATAAAACAATGAGTTGAAACAAGATTTATAAAGGTACAACACACAGAAATAAAAGATGTTTCTAAATTTTAAAAAAGGCAATAAAGTCAATGACTTTCTGGATGAGATGTGAGGGTTATAGTACAGAAGTGATCGTTTTTTGATTCAGTAATTAATTTTGCAACAAAAACAGTTAATTTTCACATACACTATCTAACCCTCTCAGTGACTTGGTAAGAACGTACTACTGCTTCATAAAAGATGAAACTGAGGCCAAATGGTGATCCAGCCTTTAAGGGTTAAAAGATACAATTCGAGAGTAAGACAGCCAATGTAAAAACCCATGCCCTTTCCTACATGGCAAGATAGAAATTATGATGACTGAAGTCATTCTTGCATATCCTTAGGTATAAAGTACAAATGTTCAAAAAGTAAAGATGACATTATTTTCCAAAAACTTACATTCTACAGGAAATTTCTATCTCGTTACCTGAGTTCTTGTTCTCTACATCACCTGCAACTAATGCTGTCACACAGCATAAAATCTGACATAATAGTGCTCCTGAGTCACCCAAAATCTCACATACCGTGTAGTAAGTGCACAAAATAAAAATCATACACTCAAAGTCATGCTTGAAAATTTCTTATCACTCATAAAGTGCTGTATACATGGTTTTGTGTTTAGAACACTGTTCAAAAGATACATATAAAATACACTATTAAATGTAAAATACTGCAGCTGCTATAAAAAAGTTTGGTAATTCCTCAAAAAGTTAAACACCAAATTAGCATTATGACCCAGTATTTCCACTTCTGTATATATATACTGAAAGAACTGAAAGCAAGGACTCTTAACAGAGACTTGTATACCAATGTTCATAGCAGCATTATCCCCAATACCCAAAGGTGGAAACAATCCAAGTGTCTGCCAACAGATGGATGAACAAACTGTAGTGTACACATGCACCAGAATATTATTCTGCCATAAAAAGAATGAAAATCTGATACATGCTACAAGGTGGATGAGCCTTGAAACATTACGCTAAACAAATAAGTCAATCACAAAAAGACAAATACACTGTATCAGGATTCCACTGATACAATGTGTCTAGAATAGGCAAATTCATTG